TTATATTGGTCGAGGTGAAACCCTTAATATGACTGGACTACTATCAATATTCAATAGTCGATAATTTACACGGCATTTATTCTAAAAGGCAACATTGCCAAGTTTAATGATTTTCAGCAGATCTGTTATTTTTAAGTAATAAGGTCGGTAATTTATGTAGCTCCTTCACTGTTCCTCATTAACTTAAGATAATCTGTAGTTTAATTAAGTTAATTTCATATTAATATTTGATAAATACTAAAATACTGACCGCTACCAAAAGTAAACACTTTTTTAAAAGTATTGGTATATGAAAGTGTTGCATTTCAGAAGAATATGAATTATAAGCATTAAGTGACAATTTAAAATACACGTCTTGAATTATTGTTAGTGTAAGTGAAAAAAGTTATGCGTTAGTCAAAAGCTAACAGTGTCAAATACGTCTGCTTTTTATTGAATGCTTAAATTATCAGTAAGAATATCAAAAAATGCATCTTCTAAAAATTGTAAGAAAAATCATTTATAAAATAAATTAATAAATAAATGTGTATAAAATTTAGAAATGAATATTGCAGAAGTAAATTTAAAATTTTGCATAGTTGCAAGTTGTTACACTTTTAATTTTTTTCACTTCAACGTATTGAAATGTTCGTGGGTTTAACAAAATTTAACTAATAAGATGTGTAAGATATTAGTGAGCTTAAAAACACTTGTTATAATATTTTAGACGATAACATGTAATGGAAATGTCGCGATAATCAATATTTATCGATGTAACTGTTGCAACTGTTTAGCAGGTTTATCTTATTGTTGTTTATAAACGTTAAAAACCGTTGGTTACTAATACCTAATTTTCCGTTAGGACCGTTGGCTTTTGCAGAAGTATGATTGGATGATTTTAAAATGACCGTTAATGAATGCAACAAGGTGATTGGAAAATTAATTATTAAGAGGAGGGAATGCGTGATCATATAAATAGGTTTTGAGGGATGGAAAGCCAGATTCAAGGTAGAAAGAAAAAGATAACTTTAGAACTAAAAGATTATTTTTGAAATAACAGAGGTCTTGTAACAACAACTGTAATTAACTTAATTAAATAAAGCAAATAAAATCAACATCCTGTACAAATTTTGCTACACACTATTAAATTATTACTAAACTTAGGTAATTATTCTATTTATTTACACTACTGTTGATATATCACTATTCAGTGCGCTATTTATTTCACTGCTGTCACTGTGAATTTATTTCTCGATTAAGTTCTGCAACGGTCAATTTATTTCTCCTCCTTTCGGAGATCGTCTCTTCCTTTAAATACTCTCTTGTTTCCTTTCGGGAACCTTCTCGAGCCGTCCGGTTTCTTTTTCTTTGAACTGTTTACCTGCTTTCCCAGAACCCAGGTTCGACACACACGTTTACAAATACGGCGCACATGAAGAAAGGCGCCCGCGGCTAGTCGGCGAATCAATAAACCGCTCACACACGTATGCTCGATCGCACACAAACACGCTCGTGCTCGCTACAGTATTTTTTTGCTTTTCGTAGATAAGTCTAAGCATTGTAAGAGTTTCATATCTGACTGTTTATCTTTTGACTGATGTATAATTTTGCTTTTGATGAATGGCCGCTGCGTGCTTACTTCTTGCCTGCACATTATATTCAATGTGTGCTTTATCTTATTGGACATTTGTTTTCTCAACTTTCGAGGTAGATATCAATAGTTTTACACTATTTCAAAAATATGAGGGAAAGATAAATAAAATAAAAGTACGTGTAGTATAAACCAACACCTACATTAAAAAAAACCTCATTAGCATTTATTTCACATTTATTTCCATAACTAATTACAAAACAAAGAAAAAACACGTGCATTCATTATTGAAGCTTAAAATTAATAAATCGTCATCATTTGTCACTTTTGCTGCAAATTCGTCATTTATTATAGATAGATTAATTTGTAAGTTCTACGTGACAATAAATAAACTAAAAAAAAGAGTTATCACCAAATCTAGTAAAAGTGTCGATTACGCTCCAAGTTCCCCTTTGTTAGAAAAAAATTATCTAAAATGGAAATAATTAATTTATTATCTATCTCAGCGTGGTTACTATAAAAACGTTTATATATAAAAAACTGATTAATTATTCATTTGTTGGAACTTTAATTTTTCATTACAATCAAAATGGTAGATACAAAATATCATTTCCTATAGCGACTGATAAAATTAAGCTAAATTCACAATTTTGATAGTCAACCGCAATAAATAATTAAGAAATAAGTATAATAAGGAATTTTTGTCTTTTTAATTTAAAATTAAAAACTGATAGATAATGCAAAAAAGTGGATCCAAGAATCAGTTTCACCATTTGTTTCGTGTAAAAGAACAAGAAACTTACGGATACAGGTGATTAATTGAGCGGACTTCATTTGGGAGTGTTTGGAGCGTCCAGATTCGCACTTCGAAGCATTACTGCGCCGAGTCCCCAAATTCTAAAAATTATTTTTTATATTTCTATACCGAGTGGTTTTTTATCCTCCTGAATTCGTCAAGTCTAAACATTTTCCGATCCGACAGGACTTGAACTTTGACGAAGTTTTCGTATAGAGTGGATAATGCGGTTTGCACGTTTTGACGAATCAGGGAGCGGACCATACTGAGCGGGGTTCTTAATGAAAAACCAGACTAAGACAAGTTCCTGAAAGAGGGCAATAGCTCTTTCAGTATTCAGGGTGACAGAGATCAGTGATCACGAAGAGCGGTGTAGCACATAACCTGTATGCCACCAAACACACGAGTTCACGGTGTCGATATTGCTCTTATTAAATTCGGGAATGAAATGATACCATGTATTCGATATCAAACGGCATAATGACAAGTAACGATACCTACATGTATTCAGATGTTTTGATGTGTAGATAGGATTAAAATATAAATAATATGTATATTGTACACTATTACAAAGTAGTGGGAAATTTACCATTTTATGCTGAAAAATTAACGAAAATGGTCATTTTTCTTAACACTGCCTAAAAATAATAAGTTTTCAAAATGCTTTCTTGAAAATTGAAAGTCAAGACTGCCAACTAAACAAACAATTAAATATGACTTCATGAATATGACAAATAAACGGTCTAACAAATAAATTATTTTTGAACCAACTAAGTATACTGATGTGAGTAGTTCGATACCTACTATATAAAAAGCGATATCGAAAACAATATCCAGTAAATACTCGTATTTATATTTCGTTTACTTTCTGTAGCGATGTGACCTTCAGTTTGACCGGCGCAAAGTAGAAAAGAACAGCACTAGGCCAGAAAAGGAAGGAGACAACTCTCGGCTAAACTCTTAACCGGTGAGAAGCGTATAATTCGTACAGTACTACACGGAAAAATTGACCACTACAATTGCATTGCTCAAATATGCTGTTATTGGTACCATTTACTACTGAAAATATCAACGAGATGTTTATTTATGTTTGAAGACATATTAAAGGCTTTAACGCTTGTTTTCGACTCGCACTATTATTCATAATTGAACAAAACTTTTGGCAGGTACTGTATGAAAAAGTATGTTTAACAAGAGTCGAGAGTATAATGAGCTTTTTTGTCCCTATCTACGATTTTGCCAGTGCGCATCCAAGACATTGGAACGGGCCCATCGCTAGAGAAAGTAAATGAAGTATACCTACATCGTTAATATGGGTAAGGCAAAATGACACATTTCTTTGTTGGTATTGTCTCATGTTGTTACAGAATTTGATGAATTTGTGAAGTATAATTTTTCAACCTCGTCTATCAGGAAATGTTTCATGTTTTTCTGAAAACTGTCTTAAGCTAACCGAACTCTCAAAATCTTTTCAACAAAGCGTATCATCTCCCTACTTTATTTTTATGTGAAAAGATCTCCGACGGTATTTTCATGAATTTTATTTTACTACGTCTAATTTTTTAAAAGATGATGCCGCTGTTTGATTATTACACGTGATAGAATATCCCTACAGTGTGTCTATCTTAAACTAGCAGGAGTTGCCTATTACCATTAAATAAAACACGTTTTGTATTGTTAATCACTTGTATCTACAAAGCTCAAAACAGTTTGAATGTTTTACAGCGGTTTTTATATCCCTCGGGAACAGTGTTTTTTCTGGATACCCTATGTCCTTTTCTTAATTCCTGATAATGTGTGTAAAAATTTTCATGATAATCGGTAAAGTAGTTAAAGCGTGAATTGGTAACAAACAAATAAACTCGCATTAGCATTTATATTTTAGAATGCTATGGGTTAATCGGCGCTGTAATAGATAAACCTAATAAAGAGCATGCGCTCCGGTCACTTGCCTGTACACCTACTAAACCGCAAGTAAGTGGGCCTAATCCGAATAAAACATATTTAAAGGCATGTTAATAGTAATATGTATTTATAAGGCAGAGTACAAGTTCTTGTAGGATGTCAAGAATGCATTCTATTTTTTCCCTGTTTGCCATTTGATAACGTTAAATCATGAATAGTCAATTAATAATTTTTTGTGTTTGCTAATCTGAAACAAGGGCATATTAAATTAATTTATATCATGTATAAATATAACATTACTGACTGATTGAGATTGGTGAACTAATGAAACTTTTCTTGATTCATCATTTCATAAAGCAGCTGTGACACTTACACGTTAATTGTAATTAACACGATAAGTTTGTTTTATGCAAGTATTTATAATTATTTCATTTCCTAACAGTTAGCAGAGTAATAGACAAAATTAAGGCGCCGCCTCTTTACTTTGTGTTATAATAGTCATTTGATTTTATAACCATAGAAGTAAAAATCACCATAAGAGGCGTACCTAATCAATAAAAAAAGGAAATAAAAGCATTGAAATAAAGAAATAATAATAGTAATACACCTAAATAAATCCCTCTGACTTGTAGAAGTGTACTCAAATTTAGATCAATCACCTATTATTATTCTTACAATAAAATGTGATTGTATTTATTTAAATTAAAAACTATTGCTTCTTCTTTTCAGGCTACGAGGAAAACCTCCCTTATCGCCATTTTATGGTTTGCCGGCCTGAAGTGTCTGATCTTGAACTACATCCTGAAGAAGGTCAAGTCCCCAAGTTAACGGAAGAGCTATTTTGGAGTCTGTTCAATGAAAAAGGTCAATTGGAAGACGACCTTACCCTTAGAAAATCCGTTTTCTTTGCTGGCATGGATCGAACTCTACGTAAAGAAGTCTGGCCATTTTTATTACACTGCTATCCCTATCAGAGTACTTATGAAGAGAGGCTACATATTGCTGATCTCCGCAGACAAGTAAGTTTCGTTATATGTATAAAAGCTATTTGGGTATTTATCCCCAATAAAAGTCAGGATGTCCAAATTGGCCTATTCAGCTTAAGTACAAAAGCGACTAAATTAATAATTACATAGCGATCCGATACTCGACTCGGGTGCGACGGTATTGTACTGCACTAGCATTTAGCTCGCCTGTCCTGATGCAGCTAAACTACCCTCATGTGATCATTATACAGGAAGTCCAATGGATACCGCTAAAGTGTATTTTTAATGAAACCTAATTATATCTATACTTTGCTGATAGTATACTAAGATGGGGTGAAAAGTTTTCTCCCTGATAGGCAGATAAGATCTAATTTCGTACTGGTATTCTATAAAAATATGCTTTGCTTCTTGAACACCACATTTTTAAGTCAATATCTTAGTTAATATACGTTTGACAGCCTGTTACAGATCTTTTTTTTTTTGAAATGGTATTGTTGGTGAATATTTTTACAATATCTTTATCATTCAAGTGTCCTAGTCTTTGATGCCACAATAACAACTTCGAATTAACTTGCTGAACAGACAATGCTTCAGTACATTCAACATCTTCGCGTAAATAAAATAGATCACCTTTCCTTTTGGCAATCATAACAACCTTTCCTTGTGAATCGTAAACAATGGCACAGTCTTTTTCAAATACTACCTTGTAGTTATTGTTTACAATTTTTGCAACCGATACGAGGTTCGTCCTTAGATCGGGCACATACAGTGTGTCGCGTAACTCAATCAACTTCTGATCTTGAGTACTCTTTACCAATACACGCACGTTGCCTCTTCCTCGCACCTTAGTCGTTGCCCCACTCGCGAGATTTAACTTAATATCAGGAACTGTTTTCATGGGCTCAAATAACGCTCTATTATCGCATACATGTGTTGTACATCCGCTATCAATAATCCAACTTTTGTTGATTGTTTTTGTCGCGGTCTCGTTCGCACTCGTACTTAATATCATGTGGCTCACTACGAACGCATCGTTAATACTGTTTGCCAAATGTTTTGATTTGCTGGTATTCTGACTTGTACACGCGTTAGCCTTATGTCCCATTCTTCCGCACTTAAAGCACTTGAAAATAGGTTCCTTTCTGCGTCTTTGACCACCTTTGCTCCGTCCAGCTGTCATCGCAATGACATCACTTCCCATTTCTTCCTTCTTTGACTCGTTGTGTTCGAGGATTTTCACTTTCAGCTCTTCCGGAGACGGTAGAATGTCACGCGTCTTTATCGCTGTACGAAATCCTTCACATGAAGCTGGGAGACTGTATAGCAACATGATTGTTTGTAGATTATTGCTAATATTCTCGCCCATACTCTCCAACTTGTCAACTGTGTCGAAGAAATCATTCAAGTTGTGTTAAATAGTGCGCATTTGATCAGTGGAAATGAAGTAGTCCCACCAGGTATTATACTTTAGTGTTTAATTCCGTTTGAAATTCAAGTATAAAGATATTCAATGCTAAACACTCTTGTCCACCATATTTAATGATAAAATTGGGAGGATGACTGTGCTCTTAGTATCATTGTGCACCTATGCCCTAAATGTCACATTAGACTCAACTCCCTTCTTTTCGGAAAGTTCCATCGCATCCCCCTTACGATCACAATTTAACAATATCGAAATTGTTATTATTAACTCATTGCACAAGTTGTCTTCGCTCTTCTATAATCTTATTTATCAGTCAACTATAAAAATCCTGCGCGATAGACATTGGAGTTACAGTTGAAGCAACTCGTCTGTGAAATACAGTTCATCACTTCATGATCTACACTTCAAGCACCTGTCCTTTTTCGGTTCTTTGATCTTGCACGTGGTGATGAGATATTTAAAGCACTGGTATCTGAATTACGAGGTGAGGAGGGACATCTGGACCAAGACACGTCCTGAAGGACTTCTTCAATTCCAAAAATTGACAATGAATTCCTTTGTAAATCCGTGGAGCTCTTTCTATTGCCAGATCTAATTCCTCTGCAGAAATACAGTGTAGCCCAAAAAGTACGCAATATGCTCATTGCGGTCAAACTGTAAGTTTAATCGAAAAATTTTTCAAACAAAACTTGTTCCCTATTCTACTACTAGATCGTCTGTATTATCCAGATTTTTAATGGCAGTGATGTGAAGTATGGCTCCAATTGAAAAATGTTATAGCAAAAACCAATTCAGAATGCCAAAATTGTAGGTTTTTTTGATTCCGTTCAAGTGATTTGACTCAAAAAAACAGTCGAATATCGCCGCGAGGTTTTGCATTTTTTATTTTTCAATTAAACTTACAGTTTGGCTGCAATGAGCATATTGCGTACCTTTTGGGTCACCCTGCATACATAGTAACACTTATATTTCTAATCGTGATTAACATTCTCGTCGTTTTCTTCTTAACAACTCTTTCATCACCTAATTCCCTTCCAGTTTCTTTGAAAAAACGTTATTCACTGCAACCCAAGGTATTATAATTAATGTTATGCTGCATGTGGTTTTCTATTGCGTCAACGTTGGAAATGGGATTTTATTCCTAACTACAACACCTTTATCCCTGCAGCGAACTCAAGGAGTTTCTGGTCACTCTTGTCTTTTGCAAAACTGAGTATGCCTACCTTCACCTTTGTGGTTTTTCATATTACTAGAACCTTCCGGGGATCATGCATATTCTACTATAGTTCCTGTTCATTTTTTTATTCACTTCATTTGATTCAGTAAGGTGATCCGACTTAACGGCGTAAACTATCTGAGAGTCGTTTCTGCTTTGTTCCAGAGCCCCTCAAACTTCTCTGTAGTTAACTTAGGAGTCCGTATTCACCCTATCTTGTAAGAACAAGTATATGAGTGTTTCCATCCAGGTGGCTTCTGGCAAATTGTTTCAGTTAAGAATTTTTGACTCTTTTTAAAACAGTTTCCTTAGTGCAATGTTTCCCTGGAGAATCTGTCGCGGATTGCGTCATGGTCCTTCTTTTACTTATACTTCTATAAATAGAAACCGAAATATTATTGAATTTGTTATAATTAAAAGGGTTCGTGTGCCCTAATTTATTTATATCAATGAACATGATTTTCCATTTAATTATTCCACTTTGTTGGAACAAAATGGTTAATGATCTTATTCTTGTGCGTACGTCTTCTTATCGTTAATTATAAATCTACATGTAAGAACATAAAAATATAAGCCGGGATTCTGTAAACTGGAAATGCCTATCGTTGTTTGTTCAGAATGGAAGTAATTTGTGTAACGATATCAAATAAGCAATAATACGATATACGAACCAGGTTTATTGACAATTCTTCATACCCACCTATGGCACGTGTTTGCGGCCAAATTAAAAACTTCATTTCAGAACCTACTTCGTAGCAGCACACGATTTATGTGTAGGTTTTTCAAAGATCTATTGAATTCAAACTAGGTTAACCGTTAAATGTCGCTATTAATGTTACGGTGGTGTAGAATTAATAAAGATTGTTTACGTAAATTCTTGAGAGCACTGTTTTGAAAATTTTCTTGACGTAGTGGTTAAGCATAAACCAAACATAGATAAGAAATTCTGTCACGTGCTATAATATAAATAACTTTTTGCGAAGTGTCTAGTCTGCCACCTGTGATGGCTGTTTAATAAAATGGATTGAGTAAAAATTCAAAAATTATGAGAATTTATTACAATTTCAAAGAGATGCCTCGTTTTTGAAAAAATAATGTTCAAAATACGTTTATAATACATGCACTCAAAAGAGAATTAAAAAAAAAGTAAGTAGATATTATACATAAAACATCAAAAAAATTATAAAATCTAATTTAGTCATAATCGAATTAATTTCAAAAAATAACAGTGTCATAAAGTATACGTTTTAATTATAATTTTACGTTGCGTTTTCGCTTTTTAGAGTAATTGGTGGAATATGAAATCTCTTTGATTTTGATTGTGGCTCTAGTGGTAGTTGATTTGGAAAACATCCCGAACAACATTTAGGGGTTGCGCAGTTTTTCCGAGAGGAGGAACTTTAATAAGGACCCAACAACTGAAAAATTGTTTTTCTGTTTTGCTTCTCATTCAATTTTATACAAATTAGTACTCGTTTAATTAAAAAAAATAATTTGTGTATTGAAACGTATTGAAAATAGTTAGGTATTTCAATATTTATATGCGTATCTCCGGGACCCACATTAATAGTTACCATAAAACAGGATGACTGCACATTTTTGTATCTGAATTCTGACAAACGCTTGGAATGATGTTTATAGAGGTGAATTATAATAGCTCAGTCTGCCTTCGTTTACACTTTTAAAAAAAAAAATAAAACATTTGTGGGCAAAGTCACTTGACTAAACAGGGTGTCATTGCCCATACATTCATTTTGCTATCCTAGGTAATGTGATTTCGCGTTAGTAAAAAAATACAATGTTAATGAAAAATTGTTTTATTTTATTAAAAATACATGAGTTTAACAAATATTAAATCTCAAAAAAAAATGATAAGTCTTCAGAAAAGTAAGAAATACTTCTTCTTTCTCTAAATAAGTGGATTTAGAGACTATATCTGTTATAGAGATGCTGGCTTCGCCGGGTTTATCAGGAAATCTGAAAGATCTTCCTTTATCAAATGTTTTGAAATATGTTACTTCAAGTCATTATCATCACACAGCCTAATTATTCGGGCCAAGAAATATTTAATTCCTTTCTTCTCCGACTGTTTTATGATGACGAAGCTTCCAGCTTTATGTGCGGTGACGTCCTACTCTTCTTCATTTTCATCTTCTGCTTTTGATTCTTTATTGCAGGGGATTGTTAAATCATGCACAGAAAACTGATCGTCGTCGCTTCTTTTATTAGTATGGTTATTTAAACCGATTAATCCTCGGTTGTTTTTTGATTCCTTGACAGCCTGATTGATATCAGTAGGTTGTAAATCGGTAGGGCTAACGGATCTTCCTGCAGGAATATAATTTTTATTCCTCAAGTTCAAAGTACAAAGATTGTCGCCTAAAACACATTTGATACCCTCTCTTTTTCTTGCCCATGATACCACTTTTTTATGAAACCATTCTTCAAAACTTGAGCTATCAAACCAGCCCGATTTTCTAGATCCATAATGAGTGTTTGGTGGTCTTCCTTCAACCCAAGAGGTCCACATACGAGGGTGGATTGATAAGTTTCCGGCCTAACCAAGAGATGACGCCACTAGGCCTACCTTGAGGTGACATTCTATAGTACCATCCTTGGATAGCTTGTAGCTATAGTTTCAGCCCGATCTCCTTGCTAGTGTAGGTTTGACAGCACGCTGAACAAGACGCCTCTGTGGTTTTCGTAAAAATGGAAAAGCAGGAAAATCGTGCTGTCATCAAATACTTTTATTTGAAGGGGTTAACGCCGAAGGAAATTAAAAAAGAGATGGACTCAACACTGGGGACATCCTCCCCGTCATATTCAACCGTTAAGCAGTGGGTTTCCGAGTTTAAAAAGGGTCGTGTGAGCACCTCTGATGGGCCTCGCTCAGGACGCCCCGTTGAGGTCACAACTCCAGATATGATCGAAAAAATTCATCAAATAGTGCTGGGAGACCGCAGATTGAAAGTGCGTGAGATAGCTGAGACCTGTAAGATGTCATATGAACGTGTGCAACATATTTTGCACCAACATTTGCATATGGAAAAGCTCTGTGCAAGATGGGTGCCGCGTTTGCTAACAGTCGACCAAAAATTGATTCGAAAAAACATTTCTACCGCAAATTTGTCATTGTATAAGCGTAATCCAAGCGAATTTTTGCGTCGATTCGTAACCGTTGACGAAACGTGGGTCCACCACTACACTCCTGAAACCAAAGAACAGTCTAAACAGTGGATTGGACCAGGGGAACCAACTCCAAAGAAGGCAAAAACAATTTTTTCGGCGAACAAGGTTATGGCTACTGTTTTTTGGGATGCAAGAGGTATTATATACATTGATTACCTTGCAAAGGGTAATACTATCACTGGTCAATACTACGCAGACTTATTGCAACGTTTGAGCCACGAGGTGAAAATTAAACGACCTCATCTGGCGAAGAAAAAAATCTTGTTTCATCACGATAACGCACCAGCGCACACGTCAATCGTTGCGACGGCTAAAATCAACGATCTAAAGTTTGAATTGATGCCGCACCCTCCTTACTCTCCAGACCTAGCCCCGAGTGACTATTTTCTGTTCCCTAATCTCAAAAAATGGCTTGGCGGTAAGAGATTTGCGGACAATGAAGAAGTAATCGAAGCTGTAAATGGTTATTTTGAGGAGCTTGACGAATCAGTCTATAGAGATGGCATTAATAGACTGGAACACCGCTATGAGAAATGTATCAGCCTTGGAGGAGATTATGTTGAGAAATAAAAAAAAAAAATTCTTAAAAACCTTGTTTTTCTTGGTCAGGCCGGAAAATTATCAATCCACCCTCGTATAATCGACGTAACATGGTAATATCAATGGAATATTTCCTTTTAAATAATTCCTGTTACATTTGGGACATTTTACGCGTCGACGGAATACCATGCGTTTAGGACCTAGATCATCGCTGAGATATGTCTCATCATAATTGAAAATATAATCTAGCGGTACATCTTTCAGCGAATTTCCAAGTTTTGCATCAATTGGAGTTTCTATTTTAACATTAAAAAAATCAAAGAAATGAAAAACATTCTTTTTCGAAGTGGTTTATCAATGTAAATACCCATATTTTTGCTTGAGGATGTAAAAAGAAACAGAAACGTGCTTTTCATTATTCATATTATCGAATTTGCAACTTTTAACTGTCAAAGTCACAAAACACATTTTAATCAAAACTTTTTAGAACTACTAAAAGTTACGAATATTATTTGGGGGGTATGAATGCTGTAATGAAAGAAGATCGCACTTGGAAGTTTATCATTGATAAAAGTGGAACCTACGATACACACGATAAAAGTGGTTTTATCTATCGCGCTCAGTATTCCGACTTCCGAGAGGAGGAACTTTAATAAGGACCCAACAACTGAAAAATTGTTTTTCTGTTTTGCTTCTCATTCAATTTTATACAAATTAGTACTCGTTTNAACTTTTTAGAACTACTAAAAGTTACGAATATTATTTGGGGGGTATGAATGCTGTAATGAAAGAAGATCGCACTTGGAAGTTTATCATTGATAAAAGTGGAACCTACGATACACACGATAAAAGTGGTTTTATCTATCGCGCTCAGTATTCCGACTGTATAAAACCTGTGATGAACGTGGCAAGTGGTAAACGGAGTTCCTCTAAACTAAAATTATTAAAAACATACCTGTGCAATGTCCCAAATAAAATTAACCAGCTTGTAGTGCGCCGAACTGAAACGCTTCTTTCTTTTATTTGACTAGACAAAAGCATTCGCGTATAATTCCGGATTCTCAGGAAAATGTTGTTATATTGAGTAGGTGATGAAGTATTGTGTGAGAAACAAAATAACATAAAATAGTATATTCCCAAATTTACTTCAGTTACAATTGTATCAAAAAGAAAAAACTCAAAACGAAATAGTAACTAAATTTAAAAAAACAATAATAAGGGGACGCATCAGATCTGATCGTGGCTCAATCCGGCGTCCTAATTGGTCGGTTCGAAACAGGTGTCTGGTTCTGCGTCGGTCTTTTTTTTCCCCTTCACAGACAATTGGATCCCCATATTCTTCTCGATAGCACTATCGACACATCTTTACTGGGCAACTGCCACACTTGTTCTCTTCCTCGATTATCTTCGACGTGTCCACTACGATTGATACAGAGTCTACGCCATCCTGCGTCTAACCGACGTATCACTTGAGGCAAAATGGGTTGCCTGCACCACGCACCCTTCACGCACCAACTTTCTTAAAAACCAAATTTCCAGTACTAAAGAAGATCACTACAAGTCTAACCTCGCTGTCCATCGAAAGTTCCCAGGATACCTAGATGACTGCGGTCGGCGCTGTATCAAGTATGTGCCATACTGACCCTCACGGTTATTGTTCCCTACTTGCATCAAATATTTTATCTTTCCACTCCCACCCATTGCGTCTATAATTACCCCTACAATTGCACTTTTTGGTACCATCCCACGAGGTAGTTTCTATTTGAAAATTCGAATGTCACACAGACTGTCACTGTTTCTGTTACCCTGAGTACAGAAACAGCTACTGCCCTCTTTTAAGTAATTGTCCTAATGTGATTTCTCACTAAGAACTTGAAGGCTTTATCAATTCAGTTGTTACTATCGCTGTTTAAAAATACCTTATATCTATGTTTACAACTATTTTTTTAACAGGAATATGAGGAAATCACAAGAAGACGCCTCGAACTTACTGGAAATCAGTTAACGCATTTTAAGAGAAAGATACAAAGTGTAGTCGAAAAAGATGTTGTCCGGACTGACAGAGGGAACCCTTTCTTCGCTGGAGACGACAATCCCAATTTAAATATTATGAAAAATATTCTGCTAAACTACGCTGTATACAATCCAGGATTAGGGTAATTATACCAAATATTCTAACAATTGGGTTGGAATATGAAATTTTGTTATTGTATGTTTCAAATATATGCGTACTACTTTGTATATAAAAAATTTTTCCTGCGGTCCAAAAATCATTTTTGAAATCGGCTATATAATTTACAATACGTCGATATTCAAAGAGCTTGTGTTCTTAGAGAAAGCGCATGACGTCACGACACTATTGGGTGTTTCTTGCATATATACAAATAGATATAACAGTCACAAAATGTATGCGGCAATTTGTTCTATTATAAGGCGCACGCCATTCCTTGACGTTCGATTTTCGCGTTACTGTTGCGAAAAATTAATGTCTTACTCCTGACCTTCAAGTACCAAGTAACAGTGCCGTAGCTCAGGGGGTACAAAGGGGACCCCAAGCAAATGTTTTCTTTGATATTACATAGAATCAGGTTCACCACACGGTAATGTTAAATGCCCCAATTTTATTGTATTTGTACCAGTTTTTAATAATTTAATAATACAACAAGACTTAACCGTCTTGGTTTGTAAAAATACTAAAGTTTTTGTGTTGATAAAAATGATCTTGTATCTAAACGTAAAAATAGCAATTTTCATAGTCAATATAACAATATCATTGTCTTAATTTCCTTGAATTTGTTAGGTAAATTAATTAATGGGTTAAATTTGAAAAGTTACCGTTCCATTATCATACGGTCTTCACCGGAAGACTCGTATCTCCAATTCTTCCTATCTTAAGTCAATCTTGACATTTCTCGAAAAATAGAGCAACCTTCATTTCTAACTATTTGGGAACAGTCTAATTTAGGTTTACCTCTACCCCTCTTAACTCCTATTTCTGCTTCTAATATACCTCTAACTAGTGCATGGCTACTAACCTATCTCACCATTTCCTTATTGTCTTCCATTACGCCTTCTCTTATCCTACTTTTTCTAATGCCTCCTCATTTTACTTTCTCTATCCACGGTTCACGTTTTTCATCCATACAGAGCCGTACTTCAACCTGAGCTATTAATAATCTTTTTTGAATTTTCGAAATAACCGGTTGGGAGCAGAAAAGTGATTTCTTTTTTACTCAGCCTTGTTCTTTCTTTTCTATTTCTAGCGCTTTTTCCATCCTTGGTTATCTAACTACCTAAATATCGAAAATCAGGGACTTCTAGGTGTTCCTAGAAGAAGTTCCAAGCCTGTATCGACACTAATATTTTTATTTTATTTTTATTTTTCATGCCATACTCTTGTGGCAAAACCGCTTTCATTTTATTTAAAGCTAATTCTAAATCCACCTTGCTGCATGCTAATGTTAAAAACGAAATACGTATATACCAATTAAAAACACATAGAAAAGTAATTTGATACTCAAGAAATGTATTATTTAAAGGGGTTTGTTTAATAGATTCTATTTTCCTTTTTAGTATTATTCGTTGCATTTCATAATGCAGTTATATAATTATCTGTTACTATTACCTATATTTAGTTGATTACATAAAACTACTTATAAATCTAGAATTGATTTTGCTAATTTTAGGTATACACAAGGTATGAGTGACCTCCTTGCACCGGTACTATGTGAACTAAAAGATGAAGTTGCGACCTTTTGGTGTTTTGTGGGTCTTATGCAAAGGGCTGTGTTTGTGGCTACCCCTACTGATAGAGACATGGATATATCTTTACGATACTTAAAAGAATTAATTAGGTTAATGATTCCACGATTTTACGAACATTTGGAGAAACATAGGGACGGAATGGAGCTTCTTTTCTGCCATCGATGGATTCTTTTGTAAGTGTATGTGTAGAAATTTTGCCTTTGAAATATTATATTTAGCATTTATTTCAGGTGTTTTAAACGTGAATTTACCGAAGGTGTTGCCCTTAGACTGTGGGAAGCTTGTTGGGCAAATTATCTAACAGACTACTTTCACCTATTTATATGCCTTGCTATAATATGTGTCTACGCTGATGATGTCATTGCTCAAGACTTACGAGCAGACGAAATGCTTCTTCATTTTAGTTCTTTAGGTAAGATTATTTAAAACTAATTCTTATTTTAATGTGTACAGTTTATCTCAACAGTTTAAACGAGTAATCCAAAAAAGGACAATTGTGAATTGGACTTGCTCATCAATGGTTCCATACCTTATCAGAAATTTATGATTAAACAATTAATGCTTTTGTCTATCTTGGCAACTATTAAATAGTAATTAAATATTTAACTGATCCTTAGAATGTTAGAAGAGATAGGTAACAACAAATTTTCTACTTTTGAATCGATATCAGAAAAGTTTTCAAAAATCTTTTCATTTATGAATATATTTTTTATTTAGCCGTTTATTACTCATTTGAATTTCTGTTAAAAATTTCCTATCGTGTATACGAACACTAAACAATCAGGGGCGAAAACATGGGAGCGCAAATATTGTAAGTGAAAAAGTCTTTTTTTTATTTCAAGACGAAAATCAGTCCATAAAATTTTTTAGTGTGCTAGATAAATATACGATTGGGTTAGGTAAAAGTTACTATTTACTTTGTTGGTACGGAATCCTAAAAGCTTCAAAACGAACTACAGTTTGTGCTAAAAACGACGGAAAATTATTATTAAATTTAAACCATTTTTATTTTAGCTAAGCTGAATGCAATAAGTTATTCATTTTTTTATTTGTTCGTTTAATTTTAAATATGGAAAAATTAGAGACATATTTTTGTATAGGATGTATTTTCAATTTTTAAAAAAGCTAGTTTAGCACACTTTTTAAATTGTTAAGACGTCCAGTTATTCTTTGTAATCTTAGTTTTATTTTAAAAAGGTTCATTTTCCAATTGAAACAAACTAGATTGCTTTGTAATGGTTTTCAGCAATGTATATGGACGGTCAGACAATAGTTCGTAAAGCCAGGGGCCTTCTTCATCAATACCGTCAGCTTCGTGAAATACCTTGCACATTATCAGGCCTTTGCATGAGATGCGGACCCGGGATATGGGATAGTACTCATAGTCCTCGTATTTATTGTACAGGACATGAGAACGGCTATTGTCAAAGCAGTATTAATTAATATACTTATTTAATTAGAAATTGAAATTAATTTGCAGTGAAAGATCATCATTGCAAACCCTTGCAGTATGAAATTGAAATATCAGTCATCAGCAGACCAATATTGCAATCGTATTAAAGTAAGCAGCAAAAACGATCAAATATATTTACACTATATAATTACCATATTAAAAGGAAGTTCAAAAGTAGGATATTTTTCTAAAAAAAAGGTAAAGGCATGCATGTATAAAATTACTTTATTAATCTTTTCAAATATTTTTAAAATCAAAAAGTTATTCTTAAAGCATTTTCATTTTGATTTAGGAACTATATTCGTTTTAAAATAAGAAATCTTTAAATACTTTGAGGATGAAATGTTTTAATTTTTATCGTTTGGTATATGTGCGCCCTCTACTGGGCGAAAGAAATTCAATTGGAATGAACAGTTGTCAAGTGCATAGAATACTGTATTAGAAAAAAGTAAGTAAAGAAATGATAAACATGAATTTACTACATCTTTAAATTACTACCTACAGATGGCTCGTTTTATCTTTTCGGTATTATTTGTAAAACATTACTTACTGTGTAAAAGACATTTCCAAAGTATAATTTCTAAAAAGGGTGTTTACCACTTTATGGTACACGAACCTTAATGGTTCGTGGGGTATGGTAATCAAGACATACCCAACACACAATTTTTGGAAACGTGAGGCTGCTGTTTGTCATTGAGCAAAGGCGCCTCCCACAATAAAATGTAACACAGCAGCATACCTTTGAGACTTTGGATTTTCGCTTGTATTTGGTTTGCGTATGTCACAATAAAATTTATTTATAAAGGAAATGTTTAAAGTTCAGTTGAGCTGCCTAAAGGCATACTTACTAAAGATAAATATATATATTATTATAGGTAATTCTATTTCTATAATAAGTGAATTAAGTAATTACATCAAAAACATTCTAAAACTAATCACAATTTCACTACGTATACGTACAAAACTATTATACAAAACAATTTAAATCCCTATGAAATATATGCATATCACCATAATAGTATTATGCTGTATTCTTGAGTCTTTATTTCAAGTATAAGACCATGGTTTTGATTTTTTAGGTAAGATTATCACGTTTTCATTTCAAAAATCTTAAATATATCTATAATAGTTGTACCTAAAACTGTCTATTAATTAGTTACGTGCATGTAATTATTCAAGAACACTTATCTATTCTTATATACAGTACATATATTTATTTCTGCATCTTAACGGAAATGAAAACAAAAATGCACAATGTGTGCTACAATATATATGAATGTACACGTATGCTTTATGCAAATATATTATTTTGCAAATTAAGAAGTGGAACCTCTTAAAATACTGCAAGGGCATTGGTTAAAAATTGAAATGTTACCTATATTACATGATCTATATAAATATACTTTTTTAATTGTTAATAAGTTGTAAAAACTTTACTGCAGTGCAAGTATTAAAATAAAGCAAATAGCAAAAATATTGTTTTTGTTTATCAAACTAATATAAACTGAAAATTACACAAAGGTTCCGTACATAAACAACAATTAAAAGATGTTAATTAATTATGTTTTTAATGTAAGTTTCGAAATAAACAAATTATCACTTTTCAAGAAGAAATTATTGTTACATTGACCGATAAAACTTAAATACCAGTAAACAAAAACATTTTTGAAATAATATAAAAGAAATAAATAAACTCAACAGTTATCTTATTCAAAAACGGACGAGTCAACGCAAACGGTTTTAGAATGGAAAAGGCATGTGTTTTTGTTTTATTATTTTTGCTTTACGGTGCAGAAGGTAAAATTGATTTTTATTATCTCAATATAAACTAGAATTTAGATAGCAGCTTCTTAATATTATAATCGCACAGAAATACAAACTCATCTAATGACTTATGTTAAATTCCTTTTTTGTAAACATTCTAGCCATAAACAGATATTTAAAAAATCAGATGTACTTTAACTTTATTAATTATATTTTGTAGCTAAAAATGCATAGGTTGTGCATGCATATGTATGTACTTAGTACACGAAAAACGTATTTTTAGCTAGTAAATTGCAAATGCCATCAACTGCCACAATTGGAGATGTTGTAAAACTAGAATGCAATATTTTGTTCGGTATTGGAGTATTTCCAACATTGGATTATATTCGATGGTTAAAAGATGGTCAGGAGGTTTACAGATGTGATCCTAATAAACTGGCAGGAATGGTAACAAACCAGGTGGAAGGAGTTAATATAGACGTACGTATTTACAAAAAAGGAACGCAGAAAGGACTAATTAGTATACCACGGAAAAAATCAAACCATCAAAATTATGATGCGTGTTGTATGCATTATTCACTTTCTTAGTTTTTACATCAGTATTGTTTCATCTGCAATATGTGTCTACGATATTTGCTTGCTTACATTCTTGCTATTTTCATATTTTGTAACTGATTTTTATTTCTTTGTGCCCGTACTTACTGATGTAACCGCTATGATTATGGCACAAGTTGGTTAATTATATAATTTGAAAAAGAATTTAATCGTCTCACACCATAACCGTACAAGGGGGTGTTTCAGATGGACTCTGATGATATCATCTCTAATATTTCTTGATATGCCGTTTATTTCAACCGTATATATTTAAAAACTTTTTCTTAGATTAAAGGCTCGAACTTCC